GATTTTTTGACAAACCACCGTCGAGCAACATTTTCACGGAAATTTGCATTTCTCATTTTTCAACCCGAATTGGAATGCATCAGACTCTCCGGTGCGATCATGCGTTTTTATATTAAACTCGCAGATCACTATTAGCAAGAATGGTTCCTATGCTTTAGCCTAACACTTGGGCTCATATTGGCCGCGTTTTGGCCCCTTCCGGCATGCAGGAGGAAGGGCGTCAGTTGAGATGAAGGTGGAGCATTATAGAGCTGCACGGACATCCAGGTGCATGATTACCGGTTTTCTGCATGAAGCCCGGTCGTTTCTTCGGTAAGTGCTTGATTTGTGAAAAAATGACAAATGCAAATTTTTTGAAAAAATGCAAATTTTTCAAATTTTTGAAAAAATGCAAAGTCCACTAAAAAGTGGAAGTATTGCTCGAGCGATCGTCTGATAAAAAATCCACGTTCATTCACACATACGATTGCGGTTCAGATCCGAGCTGCGGACGATTTTTGAGTTGAGGAGCTGCCTGAGGCTGTGGTTGGTGAGCTAGAGAGCTGAGTTTAAAATGTTTATCTCGCACGTGCATAGAGAATATCCCTGTAAAGTTTCAGCTTTCTACGTTGCTTGGCTCGTGAAATCGTTTCCTGCCAACATATTTCTTTGGGGGTCCCGTACGCGAGGTCTAGGCGCGTATGGGGAAAGATCTTAAAGCGGGAGGATGACACATAAGGTAGGAACATATATCCAAAGTTTCAGCCTCCCAGTTTTCCTGGTTGCTGAGTGACAAAATGCGCTCGCTTTCCGAACACACACACAGACAGCCTCTCGACAATATGTGTACGTATTGTCGAGCACAGCACAGCAAAAAACGCATAAATAGCGAGCATTTATCGAAACGACTTTTTGGGCCTCATGCAAAATACTGGTAATCATGTACCTGGAGGTTCATGCGGTTCTAATGTACCACCTTCATCCCAACCGATGCCCTTTCTCTTGCATGTTGGATGGGGCCAAAACTTGGCTAATATGAGCCCAGTGTTAGGGCTCGTATAAGCCAAGTTAGGCTACAGCGCAGAGATCATTCCTGTTATTAGCGACCTGCGAGTTTAGGGCAAATACGCATGATCGCACCGGCAAGCCTGGTGCTTTCTAGCCTGAGTTTTAATTGCGCGTGTATGTTTATGCATGTGTTTGCGTGTGTGCGTGTATGTACGCGTCTGTCCGGTCACTTCAACCCGACAACTTAGCAAGCTTTGGCGGTAAAATTTTGCCGGAAAGTTCTCCGACCGAGTGCCACTCCAGGATCGCGGTACCAAACTTTATGTATGCCTCGTCACCGCCTGCGAGCAAGCGAAAATTTTGACGGAAAAGTTGCCAATTCTGGAACCAAAAAGGTGGAAGACTAAAATTTTAAACGGGTGCTCCTCGCCCACATACACCTTAAAGATTCCAAATTCGGCCCTCAGGTGTGCGTGGTTCTCACTGCAAGCCCGTGAAAGCTTTTGGGGGGAAAATTGCTAACTCGGGAGCCAGAAAAGCTGGAAAGCTGAAATTTCGAGTGGAAGTTCCCCGTCCAAGTACCGTGTAGCTGCGCAATTAACTTCCTGAACTTCAAGGACTAGTTTCTAACTACTGGAAATCCAAGCGACCTTACTACAGCATGAAATACTGCGGAAACATACGATCACACGGGCCCGTCAGACGAATGTCGCCAATGGTTTCTATTTCTTTTCGGGCTGATTAATATGCACAACAGCTGTGTGAAAAAGAAATGGACTCAAGGCTTTTGATTGATGATAAGTTCTATTGTCGCCTTCAGTAGCTAAGTTTGCAATAAAGAGTTTTACCTCAGGACAAAAATAAAGTAAAACTAGAAGTTCGAACAAAGCCTTTTGAGAAGGAAGCTTAAGGCTTCAGCAAAAACTCTAAAAATAAGTAAGTTGTTTACACAAAACTTGGTTTGCCCGACAAATCTCCAGATGGATGACTTAGCCAGACTGCTTATATATCCGGATATATTTTGCGAAAAGCTAAATTTTTTTTTGAGCGCAGTTTCATTTAAACTCATAAAGCTGAGAATCGGAGCCTCGTAATTATTAAAAGCATAAACTTGAATTTGCTTTTCTTCGCTTTCAATGTGGCATGATGTGATGCCTTTGAATGAATTTCAGGGGCCGAGTGGGGAACGCGCTCACGTTGCTAATGCAATAAGGGCACTTTTAGCCGATTGTGGACAGGACGCCGGTAGGACGGCACCAGAATTTCAGGAAATAAAAGAAAATTTAAATCCAATGTTGGTGACGAAATTGCGAGATTTAGATCGTCTAGAGGCCGACAAAGTAAAAGAGTGGGAAAAAATAAGGAGAGAAAGAGATGAGCTTAAAGAAGCACTCAACCAGGCCGTGAAAATCATAAAGGTATTCTCTTTTTCTGGAATGCTGGCATGCAACCTAGTCTAGGAGATAACGAGGGGATCAAATCTTATGTGATCAAATGTTCGATGCTGTCATCTGGGCAATTGGCGTGGGAATGCTTCAACATGCTGGGCGCAGCTAAGTCAGGCCCCTTGATCCTGACTTGCACACCATTTTATCTGAGCATTTCACAAATCTGAGTCAGAAGACAATTTTTCCCAGATGTTGAAGAAGGAGGTGGACGCTTCGGACGAACAAAGATTTCTAAACAAACTGCTTGTAAGCGAGCTCAAAAAACAGTTGGCTGAGCGGGAATCTATACAGGAAAAATTGGAAAGACAGAGAGATGAATTTAAAGCAGCATGCGAGCTGGCCCAACAACAAGGAAAAGTAAGCAGTATTTCAAGCCCAAAACCATTTTCGAAGGCGTCAATTTGTATAAAATTTTTGCAAAAAAGTTGTAGAATTTAGTTATTCACTAACGCAACCTTATTGCAGTTGTTGGAGTCGGAAGTAT